ACACACACACGCACACACGCGTGAACACACACACACACACACAATCAGGCTACCTCCCACTTGCTGAGGGAGGAGGACCACTTTCTCTGAGTTTTCATTCAGTGAGCGTGAGAACAAAGTCTCTTACGTAGACATTCACCCGGCTTCGTGCATGGTGTTTTCAATTGGATTTCTGCTTTGTGGCCATAGAAATATTCTCCTAATAGAAGACAGTAAGTGGAGACGTAGACATTTTGCTGAGATATTGGTGTCATCATATTTGAGTTGGAAAGGGCTTGAGACAGCATAGAGTCATAACTGTTTATGGGTGAGAATCCATTATAGTGTAACTTGGACAAAGACCTGGGTCTTCTGCCATCGTGTCCAAGCAGATGAAGAGTCAAATGATTGTGGGATGGCAGGGATCCTTCTTGCTTGAGTTCCAGGTTCTTGCTAGTTTTCATTGCTCAGCTGCCTTTAGTTTATATCCATGTGGCCTCTCATGGGAAGGTCACTCTGTCCTGATAGACTGAGTTTCTAATCAGCAAAAAGCTCTGGATCCACTCATATTTCTCAGAGTTTTTCTGATGACCTGCTGACACTTTATATAAATGAGACCTTAGAAACTACTGGATATAAAATCCTTACTGTTATCATTTGCCCTCGAGTTCCATAGGAATGGGGTGCTGTCTCAGGCTGTCTAAGGCTAGATCTGAACAAAGATAGGGTGATAGGCTGTGCTGCTGGACCCTCCAGAGTCGAATGGGATTTCCACCTTAGTTTTTAGAATCAGGCAGACGCTTTCAAATCTTGCCTTTACCAGTTACTAGCTTTGTGACTTTGGGGAAGAAACTGCACTTATTTGTGTCCAATTTTCTTTATATGTAAATAGGTTCAGTATTTATTTTAAGGTTTTTGTTATAGAATTGAATGAGCTAATTCCCTCATTTATACCTAAAATACTGATCGTGTGTTTCTATGGTGGTGCCTTGGTAGTTGATTACTAAGGAACTCGGCAGTGAGAATGCGGGTGGGGGACCCCTGGATCATAGAGCTTATATTCCAGGATATGCTTGTTAAAGACTGGATGTGCAGTGGATTTTTAGTAAATATCCATTCCTTTCCTAATCCGCATTGATTGTTTATATATCTTTATACTAATATATGTACAATTTTTATTGCAATTTAAATCTCTTTGTAGTATTTAAAATATGTAGCTATAACAAAAATACGTAAAATAAAATGATTTGATTTTTTTTCAATAAGCAAAACAAAAAAATAGAAAAGAAAAACAGTTTTGAAAGAGTAGAAATAATTTTATTTCCATGGAATCAATTCCCAAGATAGGTTTTTTGGTTGTGTTGTTAAACAGCAAATAAAATTGATAGGTTGTGACATAATGGAAATGAGGAAACAGTGGAGACATACTACCTCCAATACAGTCATTTTGTTATCAAGTCCAATCTCGTTCTGCTTACTGAATGACAGGCCAATAAATCGGGAAATGAGCTGTTGGAGCAAGGAATAGTGACTTTATTTGAAAAGCTGGCAGACCCAGAAGATGGCATACTGATATCCTGGGGAACCCTCTTCCCCAAGTCAGAATTCCGGCTCTTTTTATACTAAAAAGAGGCGGTGGTGTGGTTGGTTGTTGCAAACTTCTTGCTGTACGAATTGATTGTCCTTGGAATCCTTTGTTGTTGCAGCTGTCCATGTAGGTCAAATCATGTTGCCCCTGAAAAACCTCCAAAAAAAAAAAACAAGAGTTTATTCTGTTTTACAACTTCTCATCCCTATTTAAGTGCAGAAGAGCTAACATCCTTAAAGATCAGAGCCCGGAGAATAGGCTCTCCTGGATATTTCAGGCTAAAGTCAACTTTCTTTTACAAAAGGTGCAGAGCTAGCAAGTCTGAGCCTAGAAAACAGGGCACAGGTTTAAAGCCCAAGGAACACATCTAACATGGAGTCAAATTTGTTCTTTTCTATTACAATTTCTTTTTCCACCTCATAAATTATTTTAGTAAGAAACATGAACAATTTTTTTATTTTTGGTTCTTAATAACGGATAAGTGGGCCAACTACATTTTTGTGATCAGGGATGCTGTGCGGGCCTTGGGGTCACAGCAAACTCTTGTTGGGGGTGGTCGACCCTGCAACATGTCTGATGCCCCGTAAGTGTTGGTGAGGGTCCCCCTAACCAGGGGCTGCCTTCAGGAACCAGGATATTGGCATTGACCTCTGGAGACCTCTTTTTCAGCTGCAGGAAATTTTTTCAGATACTGTGATTGAAAAATCATTCCAGCTGGGGATAATTAGGGAATAAAGGAAGAGGAAAAGGGCTTGGTGTAGAGTAGAAGAGAGGGACAGAAGATCAGAGAGCCTGGGGAATAGGCAGCTGGGCCTCGGGAAAGAGAGGAGTAGAGGTGGGGAAGGGCACGACCCTGGAACCAGCTCCTGCACCGTCCCCGCACCCAAGCCACACAGCTTTTAATTGGCCCAGGACGCTCTCCTGTCTGGATGTCACCCTGGGCAGAACCATGAGAATCGAATGTAAGGGGTGGGCAGCACTCACATAGGGGTCACTGAGGACTTTGATCAAGTCCACAGTGCCTTTTCTGGTCATGTGTCTTCCCTTGTCCTTTATCTTAGAATCTGAAAAGCAGCAGCAAGGAACTCAGGGAGAGATCCAGGAAGACAACTGACTGTGTAAGAGACGACAGTCACAGCGACACGGGGAACGAAGACCCTTGCAGCAAGGTAAAATAACTTCACAACTATTGCATCAGAGCTGCAGGTGTGAGAGAGCCTAAGCCTGTCTCAGAGTGCAGGGGACAAACGAAAAGGAATGATAAAATTACCACTGACAATTGAAATTTTATTAAATAGACTGCTCTGTTAATTGTATCACTTGATTATGTGTAGGTGTATTTCTGTGAGCAATTATAGGTTCAAACAACCCCACCAGCCCCTCTTGCCCACATCGGGGATGGGCTTTCTCAAGCACAGTGCCCCTCCTGCTTGGGTGGGCCACGCTGCGGGTCCTCACCTGGGGCCGGGCTGCTGCAGGGCATTGAGTCCCCGAGGCACAGCCTGTGAGACACGGCCCCGAGGCTCTTGATTGAGGGCCTCCTTTTCCCCCTGCAGTGTAAGAATGCCGGTGACTCCGTTAGAAGCATGCTTTAAAGCTGTCCGTGTCCTTGCCATCCAGAAGCGGAGCCTGGAAGCTTCCGAATTTCTCCAGAATGCAGTTTACATTCATCTTCGACAGATGAGTGTATGTCCACTTACAAGTGGAGGAATTACTGCAGTTTTTCTGAAACTTACTCACCACTAGTCCATCTGATTTTCCTGTGCTAGGATTCAGTATGACATGCTAAAAATTCTGGAGTCAGATCTTGAAACCCTGATGAAGAGGATTATTTATTTTATTTCTTTATATGATAGTATTTTACTTTCAAAATTCAGAGTTTTCTGTTTTTGAGGAATTTTTTCGGGGGTTGGAGAAACAACTTTGCTCTTACCATCTTTGGGACCTGTTGTTATATGCCTCTCACATATCTTGTCACTTGTGAGGCGGTTCCATTTGTGACCCTGTGCGGGTTGTTCATGTTATATAAAGTCTGTAAAAGTACAGTCCCTCTTACTCCGAAGACATTCCACAAATACTACTTAAATCTGGTATGGTTTTAAGAATACAGAATCATTAGAACATGTACTTGCAGGTTGCTAGTGCAAAATCTCCAAATCAATAGTCTACCTCAACATCTAAAATCTTTCTAATCTTCCTTGGATTTGTATACATAAGTGAAGCATATTGCTAAGAACTCATGACCAGGTTTAGAATACAGGCTGGTGTAGCTCAGCAGGTCCTCAGAAGCTGATGCTCTGCCAGAGGGCGGGGCCGAGGGGAGAGGGCGTGTCCTGCCCTCCCTGAGCTGACAGTTTCATGGTAAAGACCTTCACCAGGTGAAGAACTGGGAGTTTCTTCTAAGAAGAGTGGGTTTGAAAAGAGTCCTAAAAGCGCGGGACTGACACAATCCCATTTGTCTCAAGTAGGGGAGAGCGGCTGTGGGGCCACTTGGGAGACTCGTGAGTCCAGGTGGGCAGTGTTGGTGGCTTCCCCTTGAGCTGTGGGACGGTCAGTAGGTAAAAGTGAACAGATTGAAGGCATGTTTAGATGGTAAAAAGGAAAGGATGAATGCTGTCTGTGAAGGTAGGATGGAGTAAGTCCCAGGTTTCTGTGTGGATTAATGAGGTAAATGATTGTCCTGCTGTGCTTTGAGGAGGGAAACCTGCAGAGGGAGTTCTGGGGGAAAACTGAACGGTTCAGCTGTGGGTAAAGTGAAAGGCTGTTCGATGTGTGATCTGGGAGCTCTGATGAGAGCCAGTAGTGTGTAGGGGGAGAGGAGAGAGACTTTCAAATCATTTTGTCCTGTAAACATACAAATAAGTATGAGTAATGACAGACTTAACACCTCTATATTCTGGATTTAAAGCCCTGTAACCTTTTGCTATATTGACTGCAGAGG